CTAAACCTTGCAAGGATGAGTGTAACTGGTTCAACTACTTTTGCCTTTTCATTTGCAAATATCCTTCTTCTGTGATATGATTAGCAGCATTGTCTCCTTTGTTTTCTGTAAAAGGTAACCACCTAAATCAAACCTGTGCATAGTAAATGAGGACCATCATGTAATGGGCGGAGAAACCTAATAAAGGCCAGTCAAGGCAGAGGCCGAGGCTTTTTGCTCCCCTTGAGAGAAAAGCCATGCTGTCCCTTTTCCTCCACTGGACTTGGTAGTCCGTGTGACTGTCTCATTTCATCCATAATGACATGGACACTGTGAGACGGTGTCTGCCTCACAGAGCATATATATATTTTCAATACAGTTCACTTGATTGGTTATTTCTTTCATGAATCATTAGCATGGTGTTGTATCTACAACATCATCACATACTCTGAGATTATTTAGGTTTTCTCTTACGTTATCTTGTGAGTACTGATCAGTGCATATGTGTAAGAAAACTACACAAAGCTGATGGAAAGGATCACCAAAAAGTAACAGGCAGAGCAAACACAACAGGCCACACAGTGCTGGGAATAATTTGTATACTCAGTATGAAGAGTGGAAAAACCCACCATTAATGGGGCATTGGGTAATCAAGAGGCGCTTGTCTTGGGAGTGGGGAAAAATCATATCTAGACTAATGCCTTTTTATTATAAATAACAAAGCTTAAAATATAGCCTTGAAAGGGTTAAATTATATTTGAGTAAGTTAAATAAATTCCAAAAAAATTCAACAATATTTATAGGATTACAACATATAAACTACCAAAAAAAATAAATTTTATAATTTCTGGTATGCAATCAACAATTATTATAAATGTTAAGAAGCAAGAAAATATAACCCAAAATAAAGTTAAAAGCAATCACTCAGAAATGATACAGAACTAATAAGTATTAAAACTAGTACATAAGAATATTAAAAAAACAGTCATCATATCTGCAATCTACATGTTCAAAAGGCTAGGGGGAATATTGTACATATGAAATACAGACATGGAAGGTATAAGAGACACCCAAACTGAGTTAATAAAAAAAATAATGCAATATTTAAAATAAACAATGCACCAGATAGTATTAATAGTACATTATGATAAAGTATAAAAAGAAGACTAGTAAGCTAAATGATATACCAATAGAAACCATTCTAGATGAAACACAAAGAAGAAAAAAGATCCTAATAAAGTCAATGCACCATCTGAGCATTAGAGAAGGAACCTAGGTTCGAGTGATCAGATACATGGGGAGTTTGAGTCCTCCAGGAGGCAAATGAGAGTGTGATGGAAAAAAATGGAAAAGCAGTGCCTTAAACTTTTCCAAGTTTGTTGAAAAAAATGTAAACCTATATAGATCCAATAATCTTAGCAAATTCTGAGCATAGGAAACAAAAAGAAAACTATATGAAAATAAATAATAATAAAACAAGTTAAAACCAAAAATAAAGAGAAGTATTAAAGCAACAGTAGAAAAAAGATGTATTATATACAGAGTAATGATTGGAGGGAGAGTAGACTTCATCAGATGGAACTCAAGCCAGAGGACAATGGAGCAATCAAAGCTTTCATTTAGCATTGCCCAAGAAACTCTAGCCAGGGCAATGTGGAGAAGGGGAAAACATCCTGTTTAGAGCAAAGAAGGTATAACTGCTTCCTGGAATGCTTAACCTCTAACTCCATTAGGTTTTTTTTTTTTTTCCCCTTGCCCTCACCTGAAACATCACAGGCTCAGGGCTTTCTTATACCCAAATCTGAAATGTTCCCTAGTCACTCCCTTGTCTACCTCCTCATGCCCTTTATTTTCACATTAGTACTTGGTATTTTGTGGGTACAATTAGAATGTAGGGTTTGGAGAGCAGAGATGGATCTGCCCTTTCAGTATCGAATCACAAACTTGAGAAGAGTTCCTGACACAGAGGAGGTCAGTGGATTTATTGAATAAAATGATATGATAGAATTAATAAAATAATTGGTGACATTCATGTAAATGTGCAAATTTGTCTGAATAAAATATATATTAAATTCACTACTAAAAAGTGTTCTTTAGTATTATTCTCTGTTTTTAATTTAGATAAAATTTGGTTTATTTTAAAATTTATATTTATGTTAATAGTTCATGCCATTCAATTTTTACAGTGAAGCACAAAAATTTACTTTTTGCAGGACTATTTTATAAATTTGAATATTAAGGAATAATTTCCCTACTTGAAAATGTCTAATTGATCAAAATCCATCCATTTGTTCTTCATAAGTTCCTTCTTAATGAATTCTTCTGTCTTAAGGGATTAACAATTTTATGCAAGATAATTTAAAAGATCCTTAAAAGTCATAGTTTTGATGAAACTATATCTCATATTGCTAGACATCTTAAACTTAAAGGAGGCATATTAAAAATAATTCAATTATATGAGTTCATTATTATGGCCATCATTTATTTTTAAATGTGATGGGGTAGGTTTTTACATCAAGATACTAAGGTTTATAAATTTACTTGAATTTAAGTTAAATGCTGTCAGACTACTGGAGTACTTGTGTGTTCTTTCAACAGTGAGCTCCATGACTTCTGCAGTTATTTTACATTAACACTCTTAACACAGATCTGGTGATTTTTTCAAACATCATTCTTTTTCCATGTACAGTTTTCTTTTAATTGAAACCAAACTATTCAAATGTGTTATAGTTCTGTGAAAGACAGAAAAACCACCTTTGAGTAAGATCACGAGCTCTTGTAGTGTCTAAAATGCAGACTCCAAGACAGACAAGTGCTGCAGGTTAGAAGCTCTTCTAAGTATCTACAATTCAGGTCAAAGTGCTGGGTTCTCCAGAAGTCTGAAAGACTTAATAATGATATGATTTTGTGTAATCTAATTCTGCACGCAGAAGAAATCAGCACTGACAAGCATATGTTTGTCTCATTCTCTGCATTTATGTAGTCTACTAATTAGTTAACATTTCTGGGGGTGACACAGGTTTCATATTATTATCATCATTACTATCAAAATATAACATGGTGCCACATATTTTACTTCTAAAATAAATGCCTAAGAGGAAGAACAGTGGCGTTCTTTACAAAGTCATAAGACTAGAAAATCTAGTGCTGTTATTATCACTTAACTAAATGTCATCTATCCAAGCATTCTGTCTGGCATTCCTGAGTTGAAGTTATTTCCTCTAATGTTTCTAAATCCATTCCCAAAGACATACCACCCAGTCACTAGTGTGTATCGAGCTCTCCTAGGACAAAGTTTTAAGCCCTGGTATTTTTGGAGTTACAAATCCTGAGATTTCCTTCCTCAGCTTTAATTTTCTTAACTGTAAAATGGGAAAATATATTTGAGGTATTGGGAGGATACTGCCTGTACCATGCTCCATGGAACCTGGTGGTGAATTTAATGATGTTAAGTGGAAGTGACTTCCAGATGTTTACATGAATATAAAGGAGAAATATATGAATAAGAATAATGCTACTCATAGCTTTCCCATCCTCCGTAGTACTGTTATTAAATACTAGATTGTCTCATATAAATAGTATAGCTACATAATTAAAAATAGAATCAAACAAAGAATTGTGTTACTGCTTCCTTGGGTTCTTTCTAGTTGGAAGAAGCCAGTGGTTTTATTCCTTTACTTCTACCTACACCAACACGGGAGATGATTGGCTGAAAAGTGCTGGGGACTGCCCTGCCTGGTCTCAGGAAGCTGTAACACACCGTGACTTAGGCTGAGCGAGAGACCTCCAGACCAGGAGCCACTAAGGAGACAAAACTTATTTCCCTGGCATGAATGCTGCCTGTTCTGTGCCTGACCTCCTAAGCTTGATCAGTTAGCCAATGATGGGTAAGATTTCCCACAGGGGGAATCGCCTAAGACAGGCAAGATCACGTGGAGGCTTCTGGGAAGAGACTCGGGGCTGTGGAAATGAAGGGGTGATGGACATCAACCCCCGCCCCCTCGGCTTTGTCAAAGCCTGAGTCCTTGTTCTTAGATGTGAGAAATCTAAGTCTCCTGGCTGCCTTTGTCTTCTCTGTTAACTCAGGCCTGCAGAAATAGCAGGTGTAGTGCAGCCCAGACCAGAAATGGTGGACCCCCGGGGTAATTAGGCCTGGGACATAGAATATGCAAGATCCTGTGAGATCTGTTTGCTGGACGATGTTATTAGATTAGAATTTGAAGGCACAGACAGGAAACCAAAACTAGCCCTTTGAGCCCTGTAGTGATAAAACCCCAAAGTCTGCCTAGAATCACAGTGGGGATTCTGTCTGCACCTTTGTAAGTCACCTACTTCTTTTGATGTTTTCTGCCAGACTGTGAATCCACAAACTAAGTCTGTATGCTCAATAAAAATCCGCTTGGGAATAGATACCGTGTGCTCCCCACTAGAGAGAGTGGCCACTCTGTCCCTATTTCCCCACAGGACCTGGTTGTCTCTGTGTATGTTTTTCTCCTGTTTTGATGAGAATTCACAGCAGAGATGGATACTGCTGGCCAGTATCCGCTACAGAAAAGTGTATTGCCTGTGTTGAACCTATGCAGAATAGGTCATAGCAAGAATTGCTCTTTCTGCCTATAAGAGCTTGACACTGGGAACATGTCCACAGACACCACTACGACAAAGGTAAAATGATAATAATTGTAAAGTTAATGAAGTTGAAGCATTGACTGAAGCTTTTTTTTTTCCCTCCCCAAATTACATGAGTTGTCTGGTGTCTATGGTGTTTATAAAGTTGACCATAGCAATTCCAAGAGGTGAAATTGGAGTGAGAGCAAAATAATCTAGTCCAGATAAATATCTTTGTACCTGAATATCTAATTACCTTAGTATAATAAGACACCAAAAAAATTTGTCTATTTTAAACTCAAAACCAGTATTTTTCAGGTAGTAACTTCCTTACTGCCTGTTGCTGTCATATCCAGCCGAGCAATAGAAAGCAGGTTCTATTAAGAGCAGTCAGTTTCTTAGCCCTCCTTCCCAGCATGGCACAGTCGGTCAACATCACCGAGCTGAATCTACCGCAGCTGGAAATGCTCAAGAACCAGCTGGACCAGGAAGTGGAGTTCTTGTCCACGTCCATTGCCCAGCTCACGGTGGTACAAACAACGTATGTGGAAGCCAAGGACTGCCTGAAAGTGCTGAACAAGGGCAACGAGGGGAAAAAATTACTTGTCCCATTGACGAGTTCTATGTATGTCCCGGGGAAGCTACATGATGGGGAACACACGCTCATCTATGTGGGAACTGGCTGCTATGTAGAGAAGACACCTGAGGATGCCAAGGACTTCTTCGAGAGGAAAACAGACTTCCTTACGAAGCAAATGGAGAAAATCCAGCCAGCCCTGAAGGAGAAGCATGCCAGGAAACAGGCTGTCATGGAGACGATGAGCCAGAAGATTCAGCAGCTCACAGCTCTGGGAGCAACCCAGGCTGCCGAGGCCTAAGACCTTGTTTCAGAAATCAGGCAGAGGGGCCCAGCCTCAGGGCCTGGGACTTTGTGGTGGGGAAGAGGAAGGTTTTGTGTGCAATGCCAATAAATGTTCCAGGTGGGCAAAAAAAAAAAAGCAGTTAAATGCAATATCAAAGAGATTGACTCACTTGTAAGAAAAATAAATAAATAAATAAATAAATAAAAACTTTACTTCATAATTTTGAAATGCAGAACTGATGTCAAATAATAAAAACAATTTGAATTAAAGAACTGACCTCCATTTTAATGGATATGCTATGACATGTTAAGGCACAGCAAATATATCTGTTATAAAAAATACATATGTACAAAGGTTGCTTGAAATGTAATATATATGTTGTATATTATGCTCATATGTTATACATTCATGTATCTGCCAAATTTGCAGCTATAGCATATATTAAAGAATTTAAAGCATTTATGACTGTTGTAAGTAGTACATTTGATTTATTTGAAGTAGATTTATCTTCAAGTGTATATAGTGTTGTGCAAAAGTGTCTTTAGCTTTTAGAGTAAGTACTTATGAAATGTAAGAGGAAAACTCTAAAGGTCAAAATATCTGGAATCAATGACAAATTCAAATATATTTTGGCATTTTAAAGTGGTTCCCTTAATAGGTCTATTACAATAAATGAAAGTACTTGTGTCATTTTATTTTCAAACCAATTTTGCTATTGATTTTATTTGCAATTTTGGTAATAGAGAAACCACTTTTAGGAGCCTATTTACAATTTGTAAGCACCACCAATAGAGTAAGTACTGGTAATAAAAATCAAAATCATATTTTGAATAAGGAGTGTAAGTCAAAATATATAGAACAGGATTTTATTTATTGCTAATCTAAGAGGCTGCATTTTTAAGAAATGTTGTATTTGTTGTGTGTTTGCACTGGACTTCTGGAGGCAAGAAATTGCTTGAGGCAAGGTACCAGTAGGTCAAACCCCAATTCCTGTCCCCCAGAAATGAATGTTCTTAAATCTCCATATTTGACCTTAAAACAGAACATCTACTTTTCTAAAGCAGAAAGTGCAGGTGCAGGAAATCTAAAACGTATTTCTCAAAAGCAACTTTATGGCTCTTTAACTTCACCATACAGAAAAAGGTGATGTAGAACATTTCTGCTAATGAAGTCAGGGTCTTGATGTGCTACTTATCCTTTGAATACACCTTATTGTTCCACGTAACACCTTTATTTTCAGATGGAGGTGGGAGGTTTCCAAGGAAAGTGAAGAGGACAGTAAAGACCACATGGTATCTGTTCCCTAGAAGCCCCCATAGCACTTTATTTCCGCTCCCACAGTTAAATATTTGAATGCTAGGGACTGGAGGAGCTATGCTTTGAGGACTGGGTAAGATTTTAGGCCTAGATCAGCGACCAGAATCTGCTGGAGCCGCCCTGGAGGAGTTTGTGTAAACTGGTTGCCCAACAGAAGCTGCTCTGGAGCGCAGATGTTAGTCATGAAGTAGTTAGGAGGCGGTTACCTTACCCTTGCACGGAAGCTCCGGTATGAGGATAATGTAAATATTTTGGAGGATGCAGAGACAGCATTGTCAAAGCAAAAACTGCACTGGATAAAGCTGAACAGGTTAATGCTTTGGGGGGGAGAGATGAGAACTCAGTCCAAGCTCAGTTGAAACAAAGATGGGGAAGTTTACATCTCAAAGGCACAGGAAGGGAATTTACAAGTTTACAAAATAAGTGCTGGCAGAAAAAGGTGGGGACCTGGAGTCAAGAAGAGGCTTGTCTAAGCTTTACTCACAGGAAGGTGGGCTTCGGAAGTCTTGGTCAGCACCATCAGTGTGTCCAGTGCTGGCCGTGGCTCTGGGGACAGCTCTTTTCACTGACAGTGGCGGCTCAGAGGTTGAAGCCAGACCAGGAGAGAAACAACAGTGCATATGTCCTGTGGGACCTCAAGCTGAAAGACAAGTTTATAGCCATATAGGGACTCCCTGCATAAGTACTTCCAGGAATAAGAAAAACAGAGAAGTAGCAACAATTAAACCACACGAGAGATGTGAGAATATCATTTGTTTACAAATAAAAGGGTTATTTCAAAGTCATGAGCTAGAAGAGATCAGGAATTTGTAGCAAATCATACTGTACTATGTTCTTTTATGTTATTGTATAAATTGAGTCATTTCCAGCAGTCATATTTTTTCTTTATAAAGTCCTGAGTTTCCATCTCCTATTATTTATTGTCTTACATAGATATTACATGTCTCTGTTAATGATACTTGTATGAGCAAACCAAACAATTGACCTTCCTCCCTCATTTAAAGAACTATGTCTCTCAGTTATTTTCTTTTTCTGTTCTTTTATTTTTCTGAGTACAACATGCATTAGAAAAGAATCCTCTTTTTGCTTGAAAAGTGAGAACCAGACCAGAATTAAGGGAATATTGATAATTGCTGTGCAGAAAAATAAGCCTTCTCTTGCATAAATGTCTTTTTTTGTTTAAGAATTGAACAGTCTGAAAAAAAAGGTTTTTTCCCCCCACTGTGAAATTTCTCTGTGTATTTAGCACATGCTTTAAATCTCCAAGAGAGATTTAAGATTCAAAGCTTCTTAACTTATTTAACCACAAAATCTATTGCTCTTTTTTTAAAAAAAAAATTATTTATGTATTTTTAGAGAGAGGGGAAGGGAGGGAGAAAGAGAGGGAGAGAAACATCAATGTGTGGTTGCTTCTTGTGTGCCCCTTACTGGGGACCTGGCCTGCAACACAGGCATGTGCCCTGACTGGGACTCAAACCAGCAACCCTTTGGTTCACAGGCTAGCACTCAGTCCACTGATCCACGCCAGCCAGAGCATATCCATTGTTCTTAAGGTAATGATAATACAGAGGTGGGCCAAAGTAGGTTCACTGTTATCTGTATGGAAAGAGACATGCAGGTTATGATCATTACAATAGCTTTACTGACTCAAAAGAATGCCACAATGCAACTGTAGACCTAATTTTGCCCATCTCTGTGTATAGTAGAACCAGGGTTTTATGGCACAAAGTTAGGAAAATGATGCAGCTCATATCCATCAGCATCATTCCATAGAGAGTAATTTTTAAAGTTTAAGTAGTAAAGCTAATTTAGCAAATATCTTGCAAATAGATGAAATGAGCCCCAAACTACCAGCAGCTAAGTCCTTTTCCCTCCCCTGTGCTGAAGGAGCTGTTCTATGGTATAAGAAGAAGAGTTCATTTTCAGAAGGAAAAGAAGCATGAATCAGGGCCAAAAAGACTCATTCATCGTCAAGTCCCAGTTTATGAACTTATCCTTTTCCTTTCTGGGAAATTATTAGATTTGCTCTACAGATCACTGATTTAAACTTCCTTAGTAAAAAAATACTGTTTTTTTCTGCCTCCAATGATGATTTCATTTTGTCCCTATGTGTTCCTTGTATTTCCATCGTATTGTTTCTATCCCTGGACATTTTTTAATTCACAGTGAATGGTTATAAATAATTTTAATCACTCTAATGCTTTCCTTTAAAATGTTTATGAGGAATGTCCATTGTTAATGTGATATGTTACAGTCCAGGAAACATTCCAACCAAATGAAATGAATTGTACATTTTACTGTTTCTAAGATGCACATTTTCCACATATCAAGAGATTTGAAATTGGAATACATCTTACAATTTATAGTATTATACAATTGCTTTGGCCTGGTGGTAGTCAGCATGCACTTGTGTTGTAAATGTATAAACCTTAGATCATCTGCAACCAAATATTCAAATTATGTTTCAATGGTTTAGGAAAAAATCATCACTATATTTTATATGAATATAAAACTTATTATCTGTAAATTATTATGTTTTTTAAATCCTCACCCTATGATATATTTATTGAATTTAGAGAGAGAAGAAAGAAAAGAAAGAATGAGAAGGAAAAACATCAGTTGCTTGCCTCCCATATGTGCCGCAACGAGGGACTGAATCTGCAACTTAAGTATATGCTCCAATGGGAGATTGAACCCACAACCTTATGGTGTATTGGACAGTGCTCCAACCAGCTGAGCCACCCAGCCAGGGCTGGAGTTGTTTTCTTAACACATAGATACCGCTAGTTGTGGGAAGTGATAAATCAGATATATGTAACAACAGGTCAAAGGTGGCACCGAGGAAGATGAGACACATGTAAAGGCAGACTTTTCTTCAAGAGAGCATGCCTTGGCTGGTAGCTGCATCTTCTAGGGTAGCATCTTCAAATCCTTCTCTGATCTATTGTCACAGCCTCCCTCTGTGTTTATGTATAAAAACGCTCTTTGCCTCCCTTTTCTAAACATACATATGATGGGAGCCCATTCGGAAAATCCGGAATAATTTCCTCATGTGGATAGCCTTAATTTAATGGTACCTGAAAAACTTCTGTCCCCTATAAAGTGATGTCTATAGGTTCCAGCTGATAGGAACTCCATTCATTCAATTTATGAAACCAGAGTTCTTGAAATCACCCTTAGATTCCCTTTGTCTTATGTTCCATGTTTAACATGTTGGAAAATCATTTTGGTTCTATCTTCGAAGTAATTGCATTTTTTTCTCTTTATTTTTTAAAATATTTTTTAGATTTTTTAATTAATTAACTTTTTTAGAGAGGGAAGGGAGGGAGAAAGAGAGAGAGAGAGAGAAACATCAATGTGCAGTTGTTGGGAGCCATGGCCTGCAACCCAGGCATGTGCCCTGACTGGGAATCGAACCTGCGATGCTTTGGTTTGCAGCCCATGATCAATCCACTGAGCTACGCCAGCCAGGGCAGCTACCAGGGATCCAATAATTGCATTTTTTCCACTGTCACCATGCTAGTTTAAGCCATTTTCAGTACTTACCTGGCTTATTGATATAACTTCTTAACAGGTTCTTCTCCTTCTTGCCCATATACATTCAATTGTCAATACAAAACGAAGTCATCCTTTAAATGCTTAAGGCAGGTTATGGCAATATGCTGATTAAAAGCCTGAAAGGTTTACCCATTTCTCTG